TGTTTTTTTTTTTTTTTTTGTCTTTGATAGTATTGCAGAGGGGTCATTGGTTTTCTTTCGTTGTATACATTCGTGGAGTTTCCTGGCGTTAATGGACTGGTTTAATCGTAAAAGAGGAAGAGTTTGAAAGAAGATGAATGCAATTAAGTCATTTTGTGTTTGAATTCGGTATCTGATTCGTTTGGGGAAGTTTTGGTCGCTTTAGTTGTGCCGTGGATTAGACGAGGAAAATCGGGGGATTATTGTTTTTTAGTATGTTCTTAGCTGTGCATAGTTTTAAGCTGCTAAGAAAACTCGCCGGTTGGTGAAATTTTTTGCTTTTTTTTCAATTTCTTTTTCAAAAGCGGCTTGGAAGACGAAGTATTCTGGTATTGTTTGGTGTAAGGGGAATTTTTTTCAGGCCTGGTAAAAACAACTATACATATTTTGACTAAAAAAAGTTATAACCAATAGTTGCATTTCGTGGTACAGTACAAATCGGTCGTTTTTAACGCTTTTTATTTGGCAGTTAAACCGTATTTTATTGTCGGTTTTTGCTAAAGGGCTGTCTGAGGCGGTGTTATTTTTGAATTCTGTAGCTTTTATTTTTTTCAGGCATTCGACTGTTCAGAAATAACACCAAATACACTTGTCTTTGATTTTATATTGGTAATTAGAACTTTTGAAAAACAGTAATTCAGTTGTTACTTACTAATTTTTTATTTATCAGATCTTTAATCAGTTATTTTAAACTTGCTTGGATAATTGTTCTAATTGAGTTTTTTTCGTTTGCAAATATGATGCAGATTTGTACAGGTAAAAACAGTCGATAAAATGTTTTGTACGACTGCAGGTGAAATCGAACTGAATTGCCTGTAACTCGTTTTTATTCCTGCTTCATTTTTGTGAAAAGAAATTTTATTTTATTCCTGATTAATCATGCTTTATTGACCATTATTTCTTTAGCTTTCAATCGATAATATCGGCAGTTGCCTTCTGTTTGTGCCCGTTCTAATTTCTCCAATTCCTTTTTTTTAGTTTCTTTTTTAGAGTGGAATTGAACGGGGTGAATAGATGTTTTTCCCTACTTTTTTCTTTTTCGTGAACAAAATCCTTCTCAAATCATCTAACAAATGTTTTTTTCTGCATTTTAGACTTTTGGGATTTTAGCCTGGCTTGGTGCTCCTTAAATGCGTGGGACGACGGATGGTTCATCGCTTGTTATGGAAAGTAAATTTTTCGTTTTCATATTATTTTTAGTTATTGTTATTGTTGAAGCCCTTTTGTGAAAGTCTTTAGCTTTCTGCAATAGTTTTTGCAAAATTGTTTTAGATTACTTTAGGTTTCGTGTTTTTAGCTACATTTTTTGGACAGAATAAGTCTCATTAAAATTGTTTTTGAGCAAATGCGTTATTGGTTTTTATAGTCATTTGACTCAGGTGCACCAAACGACACACTACGTACTAATGTTTCGGAAGCATCGAAACGGGGAATGAATGGAAAAGATACACATAGTTATGTTGGTTTCGCAAACTTCCCTAACCAAGTTTTTCGACGCGCGATCAAAAATGGATTTGAGTTTACTTTGATGGTTGTTGGTAGGGTACTTTGAATTGTACATTTGAATTAACTTTTAGTGGTTTAGTTGATCTGGTGTAATAGCTGATTACATTTTTAGAGAGATTGAGTGTTCTGTAATAATTCTTGTATTCGTGGTGACAAACTTGATGTTCATGCCTAATTTTCAAATATTTTTTCTGGGCTATTTTTTCCAAGTATGGGTTTATTCATTCACGAGTAGTATTTAATTTTTACTATTATTTTTTTGCTTAGGACAGTCTGGATTGGGGAAGTCCACTTTTATTAACTCGTTGTTTGCCACTGAAATATATCACGGTGATGTACCAAAGGAGGATAAAATTCCCCCGACTACACGTATCCATGAACAAACTGTTCGCTTGATTGAAAATGGCGTAGCATTGAATTTGACGCTTGTTGACTGTCCCGGTTTTGGCGATGCTATAGACAACAGCAAATGGTGTTTTTTCGTTGCTATTTCATACGCTTTAATAGCTGTTTTTTTACATTAGGTTTAAATTGTTGTATTATTTAAGAAGGTGTTGTTCCATTTTTTCGTGGATTAACTTTTTCTGCCCCTTCACTGCAGCAAATTGAAATTGTCTGTTGAATTGAAGAGTTTCTTAAACTATAATCTAAATTTTGCAGCTGGGATCCAGTGGTGGAATACATTGAGAAAAAGTATTTGGATTATTTTACTGAGGAAACAAAAATTGAACGATCACCAACGATTCCAGATAAACGAGTACATTTGTGTCTTTACTTTTTAGCTCCGACAGGGCACGGGTAAATTTTTTGCTTTGTTATACTTCCTTCTACACTGGTTTTTGAGACCACTAAGCTTCTCTGCGTTCAAATGAACAGTTAGTAGGATAATTACAGGTTGAAGCCACTGGATATAGAATTTATGAAGAAGTTACATGGAAGGATAAATGTTGTTCCAGTTATTGCAAAGGCTGATACGATGACCCGTGGGGAGCTTGACGCTTTTAAGAAACAGGTTGATCTGACATTCTTGATTAACTCGTGAATATGTTTATTTAATCATTTATAATATCTGCAATAGTCTCGTTGAAAATCCTTTCATGTTTCAGATTCTCAAAGAAATAAATGAACAAAACATCAAATTGTATAACTTTCCTGACACCGATGACGAAGAGGAGAAACGCCAGTTTGGACCACTCAAAGAACGTGTTCCATTTGCTGTAGCTGGTAGTAACAATGTAGGGTTTTTGAAAGACTTGTTCATCTGTAGATTGGGATGTTCTGTTATCTTAGATATTTTCAGATAAAAGATATTAATGGTCGCAAAACACGTGTGCGTGAGTATCCTTGGGGCGTAGTTCAGGTCGAGAACCTGGAACATAATGATTTCATAGCACTAAGACATATGATTATCAGGTAAGCTGTTGAAGCTGTTTTGATATGAATGATTATATGGTTCATCTCTTTCGTTTTTCAGAACTAACTTAATTGATTTAATATCGGTCACTCACAGTGTGCACTACGAAAACTTCCGCTTTCGTCAAATGAGCAAAGGATCGAAGGATGCAATTGACAAGTAAGCGTATGCTCATATCTCAGTTTTCGTCTCATCGCTTTGCTCATTTGCTGAGATTTATAGATATTGGAGATATTGCAAAATGACTATTTTTTAACTGTTTAGAGATCCATTTACACAAATGGAGCAAGATAAAGTGCAGAAAGAGGAAGAGTTTGAAACAAAAAAAGCAGAAATGGAAAAGGTTTGTTGATTTTTGGCATTATTTATTAGCATAGTTGTTGTTTGCACTTCAAAAATTTGAGTTAATATGTCGGCAATTTGCAAGAAAGTGGGGTTTATGAGTCCTGTGTGAGAATCACGGTTAACTGGAGCTATTTTTAGATATTCAAAGCAAAAGTCGGTGAAAGGGAAGCTAAACTTAATGCCAAACAAAAAGAGGTAATGGATTTGGTTGTTACTGTTTGAAGCCTTGTTAGGTTCAAGAAGTGTTAACTCATAAGTATTTCGTCTGTAGCTATAATAATTATTTTTTTTTCTTTTTTTAAGCTTGATGACAAGGAGAAAGAGAATACGATTAAATTAGAAAGCCGACGTGCTGCTTTGGATCAGTTAATGAAAGAGATTGTTGAATTACGTCAAGCAGGAGGTTCCATTTCTAGGCAGGAGTCCCGGTCAAGTTCGTCACGTCCTGAGTATGCTTTTTTCTTCAAATGCTTTCAAGTTTAAATTTTTCCTGGAAATTTTGTTACACGTTTAAGTGTATTGTCATTTATTTGAATTATATGTGAGATTATTAATTTTGTAACCTTTAAAGGTTTCACATCAATGCCATTTTGTTCAGATCGTCACCACCTGACAAGAAGTCGAAAAAGGGTGGTCTTAGTCTTTTCAAAAGCGGTTGATCTATTGATGCAGCTAATGAACAGCAATTTTTATGCATTTCGATTTAGCAGCTTATCCGATCTCTTCTGTATACACTGTAAATTTATTCCTAACTATATTTAAATTGTTGGTTTTTTTTTTGTGTCTGTCAGCCTGAATGTCGGAGAGTGATTAACCACTTGAGCGGTTGAGTTAACCTAAGTGGATAAAGTTGTTTTGGGTTTTGCTGTCACTTTACTATCCTAAATGACTATAGTATTTCTGCTTGGTAAATGCCACAATAGTTTCGAATGAGTTCTAGTGGTTGTAGTCCTTTTGATTATTCGTCTGTAAAAGAATGTTGCGTATAAGTTTTACATAATATTCTCTAAGTGCTACTCCTTGCATCCGTCTTGTAAAATTAGGATTCCTCTTTTGATTTTTATGCTACGGTTTCTTAGCCTATACAGATCTTTTATGAAAGATGAACATGTGCTGCAATCATATGCAAGACAGTTGCTCATCTGAAATTGTTTTTTAATTTGAGTTCGTTGTGTAATGTACGGAGTGGGAATTTTTTAGTCGTACTTACCGATGTTGTGAAATAATTGGGTTGTAAATCATAAAGATTGTATGGTAGCAGTTAGCTATTGGCAGGTTTTTTTCAAATCACTTATTTTTTTTTTTGTTGTTGTTAGGAGTTTATTGGATATGCGAGTCTGTACTTTTTGTTGAAAGGGAATTGTTTTTCTGTGATTGAGGCTTAGTCAAGGTGCTTTTGCAGGTTCTGCTCACATAGTTTGTAAAAATTTGTTGAAATTTTGTAATACCTTTGTATGGGGAGGTAGGGTGGGAACTATGTGGGTTTTTTTTTGTTGGGAGTGAAAGTAAATTTTAATTTTTTTTTGGAAGTCTGTGGGTAGTGCGTTATTTTCTTTGTTTTAAATGGGTTCTCACAAAGTCACCAATTTGCAGAAAGTTATGGCTAATCAGACGTCGGCAATGTAAGATTTCGGGTCTTTTTGGGGCAAAATTACTTGACACTGCGAGTATGCTTGTCCAATTCTGTTCTGAGCAACAACGGTGTATGGACCTTCGTCGTCGACATTGCAGTTCTTGCGTTTTAAAGTCCATTTCGAGTTGCTTCGTTTAATAACTGAATTATAATGAGTTATATTTTGGTTGGTCGAAAGTGATTTTCTTGTTGCACCAGTAATGGACTCACAAAGTAGGGACTGGATTTTCTTGGAAAAAATGACTGCCAGTCGGCATCTGGTATTACATATTCAACATTAAAACTTACAGTTTCGGTGATCTGGATGGATGCAAGTTCCTTTCCTGTAAAATGTTATGTAAGGGGTGGGATAGCCAGTTACTGTACACTGCAGAACTAATTTTCCTTGGATTTCTTGTGCCTTTAGTCGTCCAGTAAAACGGGGTTCTTCTCCGGCTACGTCATTTTCTGCAGGTTATTGAAAATCGTTAAATTTTTTAATCAGTGTAATGTTGGCAGAACTGAATTTGTTCATTATGTTAAGTTCTAATGAGAAAGGTTTGTCGATGAAGTGAGA